AGTGACTCATGTGTTAATATGAGGATGCATGAGCCCAAGCATGCAGCATTCTAAAGAGGCCACGTGACTAACAGCCTTTAGTCACAAGCAAGTTATACAAATCATCCTAGCAGATAGCAATGACATTTTTAAACCTCTCATCATGCATCTGCTGCTGCCATGCTGTGTGCCAAGAAGCTATTAAAGGGATTCCTAGAGAGCTTCCACTCTGCTGCTGATGAAGTCTCAGGTCCCTGTGACAAATGCATCACACAAGAAGCCAATCCGAGTCACTGGCAAACAATAGTGGTGTTTAGGCATACGTGTTCCAAACTGAAATTCTTGATGTCATAAAAACAACAAGAAAACCTTCCTGGCTAACTGGGATGGAACTCGGGGCACATATTTGAAGTGCACCAGTCAACCTACAAACAATGACAGGGACTGTGGCTCCCTGGGCAGGGGAGGGCAATTCTTTGAGTGGGGTAGAAGAGGCAGAGAGGGATAAGAAAGAAAGAAAATAAACTATCCTAAAACCTGCATATCTCCGGCTTGGGAGTCAGCTCATCCACCCTGTCTGAAGTGGGAATGCCTTTTCTCTTTTCTGTTTGCAGATATAAACTTTTAATTTGTTGTTACTACTTTCAGTAAACAATTTTCTACAGGTTAGGGGAGATGCTGGTAATAGACATGAATTTTTCTCATGCAATCTTTAAAACAATTGATTGTACATTATTTATTTTCATGCCACATGTAAAGATGTCTCAACTGAAGAAACACAAACGTTGGTCATCTATCCATCCATCTATACATACATCTGTCATCAACCATCTATCTGTCCATTCATCCATCTATCCACTATCCATCAACACATCTACCTATTCATCATCCATCAATACATCTATCCACTATCCATCCACACATCTATCCATCATCTATCCACATCCATTCACTCATTACCCATACATCCATCTGTCTATCAACCCAGGCACATAGCCACCAAGCATTCCAGGTGTTACAAATGCCAAATAGTGACCACTTTCAGTGACAACACATTCAGCACCCCACTGGGTAACTTATTCCATTTTTGGAAACACCAGTTCATAGGAAGTGCTTTCTCCCCTTGAAGTATGTATCTGTGTTGCTAAGCAATAGTTCACTATGGTGTCCTTGTGCCATAGGACACAGAATAAGGAGGAGATGGCAGAGGGGGGAAGACAGCCAACATTCTATGACCCTGATCTCAGCTCCCTGTAGGTCTCTGTACTTAGCGACTTTTATGGTTTTCACATCAATCCTTATTCTTTGGAAACAGTACATGGTTAAAGTCTAATTCATCCAGGAAGAATTACACGCAGTCACCTTCAAATAGTTTTGGAAGGCTCTTGATTGTTTGGAGACACTGTCAGAGGGCAGTCAATTTACCACCCACATAAAAGTGAGTCTATACTGCACATAAATATCAAGAATAGTTCCATGCTGCCAGGAAGTCCAGAGATACCAAGGAGGGGAGGAGTCATAAAGAGTCCCTTTAAAGAGCCTCTATAGCCCTGAGCCAAGCAGATCTTGACTCCACCTTAGGTGTGTGGGATTCTAAGAACAGGAGAGGAAATGCTGAGAGGTGCAGCCATGAGTCCATGCTGCATGAAGATGCTCGGACCTCATCTTGTACATCAGATTCCTACACCTGCTGGTCTATAAAATACCAGACATCACCCTGGCAGCTACTCTATCCCAGAAGGAGATAACATGGTCTTGGTTAACAGGTTTTCTTCTAAGCCCATGGAGGTCTTTCCAGGAACGTATCTGTCCAGTCAGTGGTTATTTCCATCATTATGTCCAAACTGAAGCGTGAGCTAAGATGTCTGACTGTAGTTAATGTAACATGTGTCCTGGAACACTATAGCACTTTAACTGAGCACCTAGCATGTGCCAGGTACTTTACACACGACCACTGCAACTGTTTATCACAGGCATCCTGGGTAGCTAAGTATCCCACTTTTCAGGAGATCAAACTGAGGCAAAGATATCAAGGGCCTCGTGTAGGCTAGTAATTGTGTTGACAGAGCCAGGTCTGTCTGGTCCTCACTATCATGCCTTCTTTTCAAGAAAATCACATGGGTACTAGGTTAATGTAGTGCCAGGGCCATTCCAAACAGGTTTTAAAAAACCTGCCCGGGGCATAAAGAAAGGACACGGTAGGATTGGCTTTGGGCCCAGGCAGTCTGATGCCAGAGACCAGCTCTCTGTTGTGGGATGGCAGCACCACTTCACCTGGAACTGAGTAAGATCGTGGCCTGGGAGGCACTGCCCATCCCCTGCTCTCCATTACCCTGACCCAGGAGTTCAGGCCAAGAGCCTCTCCAGCTTCTACTGTAGGATGCAGGGGGGCTCATCCTTGGTTGGGGGGGGGCAATGGAAGTGATGGGCGAGGAACTTGAACTTCTTCCTAAAAGTCCTCTGCAGCAGGCTGTAGTGTGGTCAAGGTTAGAATCCATAGTCCTCGGTTCACTGGGCCCTTGCTCTTGAATGGCAGAAATGGGTTACACTTTGGGAAGAGCGTGGGGCCAGAAGCAGCTCCAAGGGGGTCTGAGGACACATCTGCTCTGATGCAGTGATTCAAGGTCACTGAAGGGCACAGCAGATTCTACTTAAGGGGGTGAGCCTATTCAAAGAGCTCATGAGTCTCCCTCTCCACAGAATGGTACACATTGCAAATTATCTGTCCCCTCTCACACTGGCCTGGCCAAGTGCTCAGGGAGTCTCAGGTGGAAGATGTTTATCCACAAGATTAGAAGGGACTAACACCCCAGACCACTCAGGGTGGTGGTGATGGCTGGTGGCATTATTGAAAATAGACCGAGCTCCCTGCCATGTCAGCTTAGAGCAAATGACAATAAGACCTCTCCCGAAACCCTACAAGGAACTCGTACTTTGTAGATATCTCCAGAGAGCCTTCAGCTGGAGAACGGAAGGAATAGAGACCACCCCCAGATTTTTCTCTGCCAAGGGGGCTGGCGGACACACGCTGGCTGGCCCAGTGAACGACAGTTCATTCATTCTCCTCCCTCCAGATTGTTGTGAACGGTGGGGTTAATTACCGGCAATTAATTACAGTAATAAGAGCTGGGCTCCCAACTGTTGCAGCCACAGGAGAGCCACGTAGGCTCACACAAGTCCTCTAAGCTCCCAGGAAAATTCCTCCAGCAGAGGCAGACCTGGCTTCTATTAGCCTCTGGCTCAGTACCAGGCATGGCTTACCCCAAGCTCTGCCCATGCTCAGTGCCACATTATAGCACATGGTACTTATCTCTAATCCTACTGAGGGAGAAATGGAGGTCCAGAGAAATTCAGCCATTTGTTAAGGGATGTAAGATTTCCCATCACACCTTGTACACACCTGAACCAATGGAGTTGTCATGGGAACCACTCAGGAAACACACATGTAAGTTGTCCAACAAGCTGCCCCTGTAACTAGACAGTCAACTCTGGTTCCTGCCTTTTTTTCTTTCTTATATTGGGGGCAATGATATATACAGCATTATATTTCTAAGCAGTCAATGATGAAATGATTTGATGAATCATAAGTCCATTGTTGTAAAAACAACTAATCGACCAGGTGAGCCAGAGGCGGTGAAGATCTGCAGAGGTCTGGGATATCAAAGACGAATTCATACCTAGGAAATCCCAGCCACGGGGAATCCTTTCTCACCCTGCTCACAAACCTCTGAATCCACTGAGAAGGTTTGTAAGGCGTAAACTGCTGTCACTCTGCAAATATGTGAGCTTGGAGGACAATAACAGGCACAAAGGTCAGAGAAGAAACGATGAGCTTCCCAGGAGTCAGAGAGAGACTGGCAACAAGAACAAGGCCGATGCTGAGCAGTAAGAAGCAACTTACTTGTTTCAGCTTATACGCTGGGCTTCAGTCTCTATACACACGTTCTTGTAATTTCTACAGGACTATATATGGGCCTGTTTCCTAATAGATTATTCCCTTACAAACCCATCTGCTAACGTAACTCCCGGGGAAAGCGACTAACTAAGGACTATGAAATGAAAATCCCACTCGTTTATTTCTCTCCTGGAGTTTCCCAGCTAGCTCGGTAAGAAGCTGGCTTAGGAAACGGTCCCCGTGCTCTTGTCAATAACAGTATCTGGCGGAGGGTGGCTCCTGGGGCTGTCGAGAGCCAGGTGTGTGATCCAGATGAAAAAAAAAAAACAAAAATGGGTCCTTGGAATAAAATTACTTTAAAAATCAGGTCCTGGCAGAGCAGCCACCTCCATGTATTTTTTAATATATTAAATATACTTATTTAATATATTAAAAGCAAACAACAAAAGAGTTCCAGCAGTTTAAAACCCAGACCTGGCGTTAACATTCTTGTGGCCTTGGAGGGGTAATCTTTACTTTAACCAAAGGTCAGCAGGCAGCCTATCTGGCCTGAAGGTAAACAGTTCTAATCCAGACTGTTAAATGTTTTCCACAAAGGAAACTGCAGGCTTTTTTTTTAAAGGTTAAAAAAAAAAAAAAAAAGGCTTATAATAGGGAACCAGAATTTACCAACTCCAGGACTCTGTGGTACACAACACAACATAACCTGGGAAAGTAGTACAGAAGCATGAGATGAATGCAGAATACAAGGGAAAAACAAGACACTCTGAATTTGGTGAGTGTCTCCAGCCCCCCACAAAACAGGCTGAACTGGTCTTCACATTTGGACTAAGTTTCAAAACCCATCTCACCTTCCTTTTCTCTGGGGGGGTTTTAAAAACAATCAGATAACTTCACCGACAAGCAGAAGCTGGATCAATAATTAGGAAACGAAAATGATTAAATAGCTGTCCAGAGGCAACGCCAAGAGCCATTGAGAAGACGGCTGATACAGACATCCTCTACTCTCAAGAGTGTTACTCTGGACTGAGCCGTTCACAGTCAAGGCGGTCACTCAAATTCCCTGGACACCCCTGAGAGGTCAGTGGTCTAATGGCCAAGAGAGGAGAATGGAGACCCGGCTCACCTGTTCAAAGGTGTTTGGGGCTTTTAAAGTAGCAGCAGCCGCCAGCCAGTTTTCATTTCTTGTGGTAGAAGCTTCTAGGGCCGCCTGAGCTGTGACCAGTCTCAACTTCGGTGTACAGGTGGCTGGAGGAAGAAGGAGGGCATTGGTTGGCGCGGAGCAGGAAATGTGTGACATCACGGAAGTCTGGCTAAGACCTGAGGGACTAAAACATCCCCGGAGGCCCCGCCCCCACCCCTGTCAATTACCTGAATACCTGGGAGCAGGTAGGTGGCGTCTCTCAGAGGACAAATGAATCAGTTAGAGCGATTTGCAGGATGGAATTTACTTTTCCTGCCTGAGCACAAGCACGTGTCCGGCCCCGTGTACCGAGCTGAATGCATATGCCTGATTGTTTCCCAGACGGACCTTATATGCCTGCCTGATTGTTTCCAGGGCCCTCCCAAGCCCACACCGCTGCCAACATCAGAATTAAAAGGGAAGTTGTTTCCCCCCCCCCAATGGGTGCAAAAAAAGGGAAGAGATTGTGAAGATTTGCAATATCTGGGATTTGTCCCCCAAATGCCTTTCTGAATCGGATCCATTTGAGTCCGTAGTGTTTTCCTGTTGCAATATTGTAACAACTGGAGGTGACATTATTAGTGTACTTCTTTAAAAAAAAAATCTAATCTGATGCGTGTTGGCATCCTTTGCCACACCCTCTTACTGCCCGCCGCCCCCAGCACTGTAATAGTATATTCTAGGCATTGGTAAAACTTGGGTCATTCCCACCTGTCTGCTTGTCACATGGTGGTTACAGTTCACCCACCGTAGGCCTGCAATTAGGAGTATTTTAAATGATTCAGGTTAGAATGAGAACGCTTTACTAAGGGGATGTTGTCCGCTGGGAGAGCCGCGGAGGGGGAGGAGGAGGAGGAGGAGGAGGAGGAGGAGGAAGACGACGACGACAACGCTGAGGAGGAGCACGAGGATGAGGACGAAGATGAGGAGG